AAAATATTTGTAATGCTGAGTCAATTTTAGATTAAACGTTTTTTATGCATCACTTTACAGCATTATTGATAATGCTGTAAAGGACAGCGTGACTTATCTTGAGATTAGTTGTGGTGCAAGAAGATTATTTTTATTGGAAGTAAATGTGATAGTGCTGCAACTCAGCTTCAAGTTTGTATTCTAGATCCTTTGCATTAAATTTAAATAACTTCTTGGTGCAATTATACATACGAATGTCAACAAAGATCATGGCGGTGAGACCATAAAAAAAAATTAAATGAAGGTGTAATAGATATTCTCAAGTAGCACTTCCAAAAGTTATCAAAATAAATCAAGAGAAAAAGAGGGGGAAAAAATGCATCATGCAAATTAATCACAGTAGATGGCAAGGGACAAACATTCTAATAAAAATTCTAATAGAAAATTGCAAATTAATGGACAAACATTAAAACAGAGAAAACCAAGAACCATCAAATTGAAGACAAAAAAATAAAAATTAGCTTCAGAGGATGTTGAATCTTTATTGTCAGAGTCAGAAGACTTTGAAGTTAGTAGTAGCGAATGCAAGAAGTTTGCAAGATGAAGATGTTGATTCAAATGAATCTGCTCAATTAGAACCTGAAGTGTTTGCATGCCATTTTTTACCCAGGAACAACCTAGAAAAGGGCAATCTTGAATTATATTGGAAAGATTATTGAGGTTTTAGCAAGACCAATAATGCTTAATATGTGGTTCCTAAGGAAAGTTAAAGATCTAAAAATCTGCTTAAATATATCCCAGTTAACTAGGTGGGACCCATCGTGATTTTGTCAGCGGCATCTAACTGGGTCCCACGGGGGATTAGTCTGGGTTTTTGAAGGGATTATTGAATATATTTCCCATATTGAACCCTGGTAATTTTTTTCGTTTATCGCACGTTTTTTAATTGTATAGTTTGTTTTTGCAGATTCGAGACTATTTTTTTCGTTCAAGTGTTACAATTTTTGTTTAACATTGAAACGTTAAGGAATCATTTATGAAAAGACAATAACTGTATTAGGCTAATACGTATAATTAGTATGAATCAGTTTAAAAAACATATTTAAATTCCATAATATTTTTAACCAACAAAAAAATTTTATTATACAATGATTTGATTCGAAACAGTTCAATAATAGTTCAATTCTTCCTCAGTAGTTCTCTTATGCCACCATGATCGCATGACAAAATTCTGCTTTAACTTGTATCGTTTTTTTATTTAGTGCTTTTACACATTTTTACACTAATTTTATAAAGTAAGTATAAAGATTTGAACAATATAATTATTAAATGAAAAATAATAACATAAAAACTTGCAAAGAAATGTAGATTAGAAATATTTATTGATAACATTAATTAGGACATACCATGTAGTTTGCATGCAAGATATGGCTAGCACCTAAAAACACAATTAAAAAACGCAAGCTGACTCAAAACAGTATATAATGTGTAAGATAACCAAAGCCGAATTATAGTAGAGATTCAGGGAAGGAAAATAATTTATAACCATAATTTGTTGCTACACATTCATCACCTCAAAGCAACTTTAAAAAGAAATTACTAATAGTATTGAATCTCTTAAACGAAGAATTTATTGTTAAAAAAAAATAAAATAAAATAAAATACAAAAAACAATTAGGTCACTGAAGCATCAATGACACAATTTATAATGCTTCTTCAGTTGCTATCATCAAGTGCAGTCACAAGTGCTGACAGGCAGTAGGAAATCTAAAAAAATGTTATTTAACGGTTAATGTTTGATGTTATTAGGCTTGATATAAATAGCCTGTAAACAACCATGATATAGCAAGACTAGAATGTATTATTTAAATTTTTAAATCACAATAAAAATCCATTTACAATTATAACAAAGCATAAAATACTTACAATTATATTTATGATTATTCAAACATAAACAAAGGAATTTATTAATTATTATGTTTATGTGAAAATTCCTGCAAGTGTATACTTACTATAAATACCACATCACTAAATATGTAATTTTACTTAATAAAAGGTTTTTTTTAATATTTAATTATAAAGTTTTATTTAAAAAAATGAAAGATACTATTAAACCTCTTAAATAAAAAAAATTCTTCACGTCTTACACAAAATATAACATAATTATAAATAAAAAATGTATTTCCAAAAAAAATCATTAATCAATTTATTATGAATGCAAAATTACAATACAATAATAAAGGTAGAATAATTTATAAAACACGCACATATAATATATTCTATAAATTCAATATTTCTATCATAATTATTACAACTTCCACTGTCTTACATTTCAACCATTAAAACTTTTAATCTTACTAATTTACTTTTATAAAAATATAATATTAGAATGAAATTCTTACACCTTCAGTTGCAATTATTTTATTTAGTCTACGTTTGTGGATTTTACAGATGTAGTTACATCTTTTAAATTATCAAAGAGTAATAACATCTGTACTACTACATCTTTGGATTCTACAGATGTAGTTACATGTTTTAAATTATCAAAGTCTAATAACATCTATCTATAATAACTATATCTGTTGATTTTTAAGATGAAGTTATTTTTAAGATGAGTTAACTAATAAGACATAATTTTAACCAGATGTAGTTACATATAGGAATATTTTCAAATGTAACTGCATCTGGAAAAAAAGTGCATTATTTTAATCAGATGTTGTTTCATGTAGAAATTTTTAGATGTAACTACATCTAAAGAAAAATCTTCCAGATGTCATTGAATTTTGAAGAAAAATTACCAGATGTAGTTACATCTTCCTAAAGATGTTGTTAGGGGTTGTTGAATTTTTAGATGATATTGGACAGATATTATTAAAGTAAAAGAAAAATATAGATGATCTTTTACAAAAGTGTACAGATGATCTTTAACTACTCCACAGATGTTGTTAGACAGATTTAATTTTGTACCCTTTTTATCAATTAGGCTTAAACATTTTTTAATCAGTTTTGATTATGGCAAGGTAAAAACTAATTTTAATTGTGACAACATAAAAAATAACATTTTACTTGTTTGATGTTAACAATCAGGCTTAAATGAAATAGTAAATAAAAAGTTATAACTAAGTATAAGTAATTTATAAATAACATTGATATGACATGATTATTATTTTACTAATTTATTGAACTAATTGTTATGATTAAAGTTGACCTCATTAACATGATATCAAACTCTTAATTACCATGTCTAACGTTTAATATCTTTTTAATAAGATTGTAGTTACATGTAGAATTTTATATTATTGTATGGCTATATGGCATAGCCATATAATGAAATAATATTATATGTGTATTTACAAAGTGAGAAAAGAATATCAAATATTACAATATTATAATATGATTATATAAGCACACAATGAAAATTGACCTACTATGGCAAGTACTAATACTTGCAAAACATTCATAGTTATTAAAACATGGTGTGAAATAAATTAAATATACAATTATAAATTACGTACGTGAGTAAAAATTTCAAATTGCTTAAATATTATATTGTCATATATCATTGGAAAGAAGATACAGTATTTTAATACCGAAAAAATTATCAAAATTGAACAATTTAATCAAAAGTTATGATGATTTAAGTACCGAATTTTCGACATATGCATTTGTTGAAGAAACTCTGGCCACAATTAAGTTTTTTTGAACTTAAATAATCATAACTTTGTCAGTTCTAAACAAAGTATAAATATCTTGATATCAAAAGTTAGACGTAAGAATGAGCTACAAATTTATATTGACCACTAACCACGGGGCGTACAAAGATAGAATAATATTATCAGCAAATTAAAACAGCTCACAATCAATAAAATTTGGTAAGCTATTAACAAAGATGTTAAATAGTTGTGTACTGTGGGTACTGTGGAAAACAATGCGTTATTTTTTTTTCAAGGGTGGTAAAAAGATTCTCAAACACTCTTGGCTTTCTTTCAGATAAATAACATTGAAACCAGAGGAGAGTGTCCGTATTGCACCAAATAGCATACAATTTTTTCAAAAGAAGGTTGCGAGGAACTTAATCAAAGGCCATAAAAAGATAAGCCAGAAGAGTCCCTACCATGTTACAATTATCTAGTAATGTTTTCGACGATTTCGTTGCTGCTATTAATAAACATTTAATTTAATAAAACACCAGTTAATTTAATAAAACACCAGTTAAGCAGAATGTATGTTGAAATGGAAGTCCAAATTTTATTTTCCATGTGTTTCCATTAATATATTTTGATATATACTTGTTGTGACTAACTAATTTTGCCTCCTGATAATAGTTAAACAAAAAACTTGATACTAATTTTACTCAGGGTGTATCTGAAAAGGGAAGTCCAAAATTTGTTCTAAAATAACCATTTTGATTTTTCATAAACTAATAAAAGAAAACATTTTAAAAATAAAGTTCTAGATAACGAAATAAAATAAGGTACACCAATTCAAGTTTCTTATTATTTATGCAACTCAAAAATTAGTTTAACCACCATCAAAATGTTGTAGTTTGCTTGAAGTTTTAAAGTTTATTATAAATAACATTTTTTTTTTTAAATTTTACTTTATTCAGGTGCCCAAAGAAGTCCTTTATATCTTATCGCAGAACACCATTTAATTTGGCCAAAACTTTAACCTCTATTCGTTATGTAAAATTTCATTTAAAAATATTATGTTTTATGAGATTGTTTAAAAAAGTTCTTTTTTGTTTTTAAATCCTCTTTTTTGTATCCATTTAAAAAGTTTTTTTTCTAAATGACTTAAACACTTATTAGCTAAATAGCTTTTTTCGTAAACGAATGTTTTCCTGAAATTAATAAATTTTATTATTTTTAGCAGTCATCATGAGATTCCTTATTAATCTTTTTAAACATATGTTAAACTAATTAATCACTTTTGATAAACATTAAAATTTGATTGATTGAAAGGATTTTTATTGCATAGTACACACGTATTTTGTAAATTAATATTACCTTTATTTTTAGATATACTGCAAAACTTTTATTTGGATAATATGCTGTATGTCAGTTACTAATGCATTACTGAATGATACTATCACTGACAATGCCACTATGATATGTCCACCAATTCTTGATAAAGCTGTTCAAGGTAAATGGTTTTCAAAACAAATGCTTACTAAAGTCTAATCTACTAATCTAATCAAAAAGGATTTTTGATTAGATTAATAGATTAGACTAAATTAGTAGATTAGACTAAATTTTTTAGATTTATTTTAAAGTTTTTTAAAAACTGTCACATTAGAATTTATTCAAACTGAACATATGTTTGTATAAACTCTAAAAAATTTAATGAGGTATGAGGGGGAGGGGGGAAAGGAGGAGGGAGAGAGGTTCAATATAAAAGTACGTACGCACGAATCCAAAACAAAATTTCTTGTTTTTCTAATTCACCACAATTAAAAAATACTTGTTAATAACTAAATATTTTCGAATAAATAAAAACTTTATAAATAAAACCTTACCGTCTCATCGTTGTCCATAATTTGCCAGCCAAATTATGGACAACGATGAATGAACCAAATTAATTTTATGACTTTGGATCCTAGTTCGCCAACTTAAAAGAATGTATGGTATAGAGGAAATTGGGGTAAACGTTTACTCTAAAAAAAGCTAATATTTATTTAATTCGTAACTAAAACAATTTAAAAAAAAACATTAAAAAAAAAAAGTAAATACTTGACTGAGGTTTAATCATAGGGTCAATTAGACTTATATTCATTGATAAATTTCAAGTTTTATAATATTATCGCTCAGCGCTCAAAAATTATGACTATGTAAAGTTTAAACTTCCCTTAATTTACTTGTGGTCACAAATTTTATATGGTCATAATTTTACAACGCTGAGATATGATGAGAATAGTATTAAAAATATTTTATCAACTTGTCGCCCTCTTGTTTGGGGTGAGGAACGGGGTGAAGTTTTTTTCGTTCCCAGCATCCATTCATCGCAATTTTTTACAAAGCATCACTATTTGACATAAGTATAAACATAAAAATGTTCTGAGTTCGTTCTATCGCGACGTTAGAATTATCTTGTTTTATCTCTACATTTTTGAGTTTTGAGATAAAACGATTTAAAAAATGAAAAACTTTAGACGATGGCATATAAAAGTTTTTTTATATGCCAAGTTGTTCCGCAACTTAGGTTTCAATGGAGTAGAAAAAACATTATTCTGAGGTACACAACACACTCAATAACTCAATTTTTTCAAAGAGTGGATTCTAAGGTCGCGCTATGTCTGGAAGTTAGGTGCCGAAAAATGCTAGATCTGCAAAATTCCTTCAAAAAAGTAATGTGTGTGTTAATATAAGTGCGCCTAATAAAATAACAAACATCAAGTTAGCATAAGTGCGAAGCTTCGCTTATAGGCTAATTCGCGCTTAGCCTAAGCGCGACTTTTCCTTATGTAATTTACGGACGATCCCTGAGCCTTAGAGATCGCCGGTAAATTACATAAGGCAATATTTCACAATAAACAAAACAAAAAAGGATTAAAAGTGTTCCCTCGCAGAGTCTTAATTTAAATATATAATCAAAATAGAAAATTAAGTTGAATGAAAATCGCCGCATAAAAAAAATTTTGTATTATACTTTAGTTTTTTTCCGTCGCGTAATTTATAGACAAATGTTTCGCGCATATTCAGTCTTCCCGCCATTTACGCATGTTATTGTTTACAAATTATATTTTGCACTTTTTTTTATGCCTTTATAACTTCATGTTATAATAACATATCCATCAAAGATAGGAATAGATTTACACTTTTGGTCTTATCTTTGAAGGTCCAATAAATAAATATATCTCTAGAAATTGACATATCAAAATATCCTAAACCAAGTTTTTATACTTTAAAACTAGTTAATTAAAACTAAATTTATAAAACTTGTTAAAAATAAGAAAAAGTGACAAAAATACACTTATTTCCATAAAATTTTCCCAATAAATTTTCCAAAGACAGATAAAACGATCGATTAGTAAAATTAAGTTTTTATCAAATAATCTAAATATTTAATTCTATAAGTATAGGTTATTAGAATAATATCAATTTTAATCTATAATAAAATAAAAAAATTCAATATCATTTGACTCTTAATCTATTCTATTGTTTGTAGTCTATTTATGTCTTGTAGTCTATAGTTTGTAGTACTATAGTATAGAATTGTAGTTTTGCAGGCAATTTAAAGGCTACAGATCTAGTGTTGAATTTGAAAGTGAAATGTAAATGATCATTTTTGTGTAAACTGAGTATAATTAGATGGTCTGGTTTGTTTAAGATATGTTTGAGTGTGTCGATGCATGCAAGATCAAGGTTTTTATATATTAGAAGAATGCTATTGATGGTTGCATCATGTGAATCAAATTTAGATCCTTTTAAAAAGTGGGTTTTATAACTAAGGTCAAAAAGGTGCTGTTGCCCATATTTTTTTTGTAGAATGTTGTTTGTAGGATGCTGCTGTTTTCAGTGA